CCCCCCCACCCAGGGGCCACTGTCAGCCTCACCCTTCCCTGCCTCACTCCACCTGCTGACTTGGGAGCTAGGGGTTCAAGAGGACACCATTCCACTGGACCAGACCCTGGGGATGCACAGCCAACAAGACAAATTTCTCTGCCCTCATGGGGCTCTCAGCTCAGCAGGGAAGAAAAATAAACAAGGCACTACAAGTAAGGAAAAGTGCAGGGAGAAGAAAGTACTGCAAAGGAGAAGGATGGGATTCTGGAAACAGAAGAAGGCATGTGACCCCGCCTGGTGAGTTCCCCAAGTGTGGATGCATCCAGGCTCACTACCCACCGAGGCAGGGCAGGATGGGGAACCCGACCTCCCCCTCGCTGCCCCCAGCCCCACTGTCTCCCAGAACCACCCCTGCTCCAGGCTGCCTCCTTCCTCCCATGACGATGAGCAGGGGGGTTGCAACTGGGTGTCAGCCCTCCCTCAGCAACCTCCTGCCCAGTCCATTACATTTAATGTGAACACCTCCATCCCTGCCAGACCTGCTCTGGCCCCTGACACCCCGCAAGGCAGACTGGGGGAGCCCTGAGGAGCAAAGTGCATCCTGAAGGCAAGGGTAGGATTTGGGAGGATGCAGCGAGGTGCTATAGAAGCAGGCCAAATGGAAGGAAGGAAGAAAGGGAGTCTGGGGGGATCCTAGGGGGTTCTGGGGTAGCCTGGAAAGGTTTATGGAGTAGCAGGTATTAGAAGTGAAGGGTTTCCCAGTGAGGCCCCAGCAGCGTCTCTGACCGATCCTCTCCTGGGTGACACCCCGCTCTCCTCGAGTGTAGATTTCTAAGGCCTCAAATACTATCTGCAAGCCCCCCAAATCTGATCACTCCCTTACAGCCCTCTCCAGGGCTCCAGACCCAGAACTGACTTCCAGGTCCCCCACAGGGGAGGACAGGAACTTGCTAATTCTGGGCACTGACTGTGTGCAAGCCATGGTGAGGCCCTTCACGTCCACGGCCATAAGGAGCACGGGCTTTGCAGTCAGGACTGGGTTCAGACCAGGCCCCGCCACTTACCAGCCGAGTGACAAGGTCAAGTTGCTCGATTACAGTTCCCTGATCTGTGAAAAAGGGCTCTGACCTTCATGGGTCAGGATCCAAGAAGGAAATGTTCTCTGATGTATGCTGAGCGCCAGAACGGTGCCTGGCACACAGTAGGTGCTCAGTAGCTAACAGATGGTATACGTAAAGGCCTTGGCACACAGTAATAGTCATCAAATGATGGTTTAAAATATTTTGCCTCAAGTAGCTGTGTAGGGACTAGGGAAGGGAGGAATGAGCTTAATGCCCTGGACAGGCCAACCCCACCTAGCTGGCACACCCTACCTCCAGACTCTCTGGAACTCTCTCTCTGCTGCCGCCTGCCTCAGGCAAGGGAGCCCTGGCCAGTTCTCCTTCATCCCCCCCCAATCCTACATGGCAGCTCCCGGCAGCCCTGAGATCCAGCACGAGCCCAGCAGCAGCTGTGAGGAGCCCAGGTGGGCAGAGAGTGGAGTGGGCTCTGCCTCTGGCTCCCCATGTGACCTTGGAAAGGTCCATGCCTCCTTGGGGCCTCAGTATCTCCAGCCTTCAATTGAAGTGCTTGGACCACAGCATCCTGGCTGTCTGGTGGGGAATGAAGTGGGGGGATGGGGTGGGGGGGACCAGAGTGGTCTCTGGAGCCTCCAGCCCAGCTCCAACCAGAGGCTCAGCCTTCATCTGCTCCACGTACTGGCTGTTTATTTGGCATTTTGAAGACAGGTTCTGTTGCTTTAAAAAGATTTAAAAACCACTAGACTAGATGTCCTTGAACTACCAGGCAGCTCTCGCCTTCTGAGCTCTGAGCCTCTGTTACAATTCTAACTTTTGAGATTCTTCGAATCCCCAATCCGAGATTTCTGAAACTCTGAATTTCTAAGTTCCGGTTTCTCAGATGTGCCAGGATCCATGGTGCCCACTGCAAAAGGCACTAGGAAAGGCATCCCTTGGAAACACGCCGGACCTTGGAGGCCTGGGGGATGGGAGGGGCAGGCTCGGGGTCCAGGAAGACTCCACAATAATCAACAGTACCAGGGTCCGGGGCGAGCTGAGCCCAAGGGAGGGTGGGGCCCAGGAAGAACCATGGCTCAGTGTTCTTGGTTTGAAGGGGAGTGAGCACCCCCCCACCCGCCACCACTGCTCAGGAGGGGTCAACACCACGACCCCAAGTTGGTCTGCAGGAGGCCAGAGATTCAAACTCGGGTGACCTCCACACCCTCCCCGCGGGAACAGCCCAGCAGGCACAGCAGGGCGGCACCCACTTCCAGCACCGCTCCTTGGCAGCTGGCGCGGAGCGCCCTTCCCTAGATAGCGGCACCCGGCACCAGCCAGACCTGGGCTCCAGCCAAGCCGCTACAGGGCGGCTTCATTTGCAGAGGCTCTGGCTTCCCGTTGCCTGCTCGGGCCCGTCCTCAGGCCTGATGCCCAGGCTGGCGGCCTTCCACGCTCACCAGGCGGCTGCCCTCCCAGGCCCCGGCCACCGCTCCTCTCTGCCCACCAGTCACCGCTCCTCACTCACCCCTTACGGATGATGATAATGATGGCCCCCAGGAGAAGGATGAGCACAGCAAGTCCCCCCGCACAGATGCCCAGGATGAGCCCCATCTCCTCCGATCTCTGGGACACCTCCAGGGGTCGCTTGCTTTCCTTGCAGGCAGCTGGGGAGAATAAAGCAGACCAAGGGTCAGAGGGGAGATAGGAACCACCTACCCACTGCCGGCAGGGGCCTGAGCCCCAAGGAATAAACGAACACGTGCGATTCGCCCTCAGCTTACGCCCAGCCTTTCAGTCAGATCTTCCCCCTCACCATCTACACCCGCTGCACCCCTCTGCACCCGATCAGGAAGAGCTCCCCTTTCCTCTCTACTTTCTCAAATCCTGCCTTCAGTGGATGGAGGATGAAGAATGCCTGGGGCCACCCGCTTGCCCCCCAAGAGGCAGTGGGAGGAAAGAATTATGTACCTGGGTGTGTTCAGGGCATCTCAGGACGAAAGCCAACCCCATTACCTGTCCACACCGCAGGATCCACCTCCCCTCCACCACAGCAAAGGGGGCAGACAGAACCTTGAACCAGTGCCCAGTGCCATCACCCCCGTGGCCCAACCATAAGGTTCCCCGTCCCTGTTCCAGGCCAAAGCCACTTCTGTGACCATGATCGAGAAGAGGGAGGTTAGCCCCACTGTCCAGTATGGGAGAAGGAACCCTTCAGGTGGGGCAAATGGGGGCCAGGAAGGGAAAATCTTCCTGACCCCAGGTCTGACAGACCACCCTCCTCTGCTCCCATAGCCCTGGGTGATCAGGGCCTAAGCCCCCCAGAGCCCAGAGGAGAGGAACTCGGTGCTGAAGGCCGGAAGGAACCCAGGGGGCCTTACCTTTCCTGGCAATGCGGATGCAATTCAGCCGGGTCTCCTGGAGGCAAAGATGGGGGGTCTCAGCACTGCCAAAGCCTGGACCTGACCCTCCCCATAGGGATCCAGCAGCTTGTCTGGAGGTGACTGAAACTAAAGACACCCCTCCCGGTAGCAAGGCCCAGGGTGGGGGTGGGGTACCAGGGAAGGGAGGGAATGGCGTGCAAAGAGGGCAATGCCTTAGGAAAGGGGAATGAGTTCAGGGGGAGCAGGGAAAGAAACAGCGTGGAAAGGGGGCTTCCTCAATAATGAAGGCCAGGAGCCAGTTAGGAGGGGAAGCCTGAGGAGGAGAGAGCCAGGGAGGGAGGAGGCAGGAGAAGGGCAGGGCTTCAGGGAG